GTGGGGCAGCCACAGCTTCTCTGGGCACCCTGGGCCAGCGCCTCAGCACCCTCACAGGGAAGAGCTGCTGCCTAATATCACATCTAACTCTCCCCTCTGGCAGGTTAAAGCCATTCCCTTTGTCCTGTCCCTACATCCCTTGTCCAAAGCCCCTCTCCAGGTTTCCTGTAGTCCCTTTAGGCACTGGGAGACTGTTATAAGGTCTTCCCTGAGCCTTCTCTTCTCCAGCCTGACCAAGGACTTTTTTGCACGAGGACTGCTCTTCTGGCCTGGATGCTCATGACGTGCTGTACACTGCAGGCTGGCATTATAACTTAACCACCTGAGCAAGGCAGGTAACGTGGGAAGCCAAAAGGAACAGCCAGAGAGAGGAAAGGAGAGAAGGGGCTGGTTGAGAATGACCTGTGAGTCCCAGGCAGTGCCTCTGGCCTCCCAGCAAGGGGAGGCTCCTCCGCTGGAGGCACAGAGCTGTTGCTGGCCCTGCTGGGATGGGTATCGATGAGGCAGGCAGAGGCGGGTCGATTCCCTGAGCTGCCTTGCAGGGATCTGGCTGCTGCTGGATGACCTCATCTCGAGGAGCTTTCAGCAGCCTCCTTCCCTTCCTCCTCCCACCGCCCTCCTCCAGCCCCGTCCTTTGGAAAAGGTGAAGGATGGAGTGTGCAGGAGGCTAAAATCCTCCTATCGATCCGTAGTCTGGAGAGCAATTAACACAAGCCTTCCAGCGCCGCTCCATGACCCGCGTGTGAGGGAAGGAGGGGGGGCATGCACAGGGAGAGGGTTACAGAGTGGTAGCAAAGCCGATTAAACCCAGAGGTGGGCTGGGTTGCTTTGTGCACTGATTTCCCAGTTGGCACCTGAATGTCTCCTGTGAAGCCAGGAGTAGAAGCTCCCATGTCTGCTTGAAGCTGGGCTGCTGGATTCACAACAGGTTTCCCTTCCTGGGATGGACAGGATTGCTTTCCCTGACCTGCTCAGCCTTTAGCTTCTCTTCTGGAGCAGCTGGATATCAGGAGGAGGGAGGGAAGTTATAAATGGGTTGCAGCATGGGTGGTGAGGGCTTTTACATAGGCACCTGGCTCCAAGACACTGGCGTGGGACGATGGATGCTTTTCAGTCCCTACACACTGGGCCCCATCTGGTGAAATGCTCCATAATCCATTAGCAGTCCCTTGGACCATCATTTATCACAGAGCCAGACACAGGAGGCCTGGCAGGGAATGGATGTTGCCCTTTCTGCAGCCTCGGAGTCCAGCAGGAGCCTGTGACATGTCATTATTATAACAGAAGGTGCATCCCTTCCAGCTGCTTGGCACCTATTTGTTATCATTCTCCGGGCTGCCAGAGCAGAGGTGAGTGGTGCAGCCACGCACAGAGACGGAGCGGCCGGTGCTGTGTCTTCCTGAGGAGAAGGAGCAGGGGTTCTTCTGCTCCAGGGACTTCAGAGTTTGAAAGGACCAGTGGCTGGATGCTGGCCCTGTGCTAGTTGCAGGTCAGACACAAGCTGAGGCCAGAGGGACCAGTGTAGTCATAGAATCCCAGCCTGGTTTGTGTTGAAGGGACCTTAAAGCTCCTCCAGTTCCAACCCCTGCCACGGGCAGGGACACCTTCCACTAGAGCAGGTTGCTCCAAGCCCCTGTGTCCAACCTGCCCTTGAACACTGCCAGGGATGGGGCAGCCACAGCTTCCTTGGGCAGCTTTCCTGGGGTTATTCCTACATCTTGTGGCTTCAGCTCGTGGGAGCAAATGGACACCTTGAGGCTCCACAACCTAGACTTGGGGGGTGCTGAGTACACAGAATGGTGGCTGAGTCTTTGGAGCTATTAAGGGCTGAGCTCTTCTGCAGTCATGTCAGATTTGGGGCTTTCCTGCAGGGAATAGGGGTGTTTCACCACTAACTTCAGTGCAAATAGGTTCCCACCCTCTTGCTTTCAAGTTCTGTGCCACAGAAATCACTCCCAGGCCAGAACCCCAAGTACTGGCATTTACCTTCCCCCTCCCAAGGATATTTCCACCAGTCAGTCCCTGTTGCCCTGGTACAAATGGGAAGGGAAAACAAACTCTCTGAGATAAATACTTTGGCTGTGTTACATTTGTCTGTGTGTGGGTATGTGGCAAATATTCCTGGTTCCCATTCAGAGGGGCTGTCTTGTCCTCAGCCCTGGCCACAGCAGGCTCACTGCTTGTGCATCTGTGTGTGCATCGTGACCTCTGGGGGCACAGAGACAAAGGAGGGAAAACCACAGAGGAGAAAGGCTTGTGTAAGAGAAGCAGTTGCTCTCCCAGCTCTGGGGCAGTGTCAGGAACCCTGGGAATGATCCTGGATGTGGTGCAGCTCATGGACTGCTGGCACGCATGCAGGAGAGGGACCACAGGGAAGGTTTTATGCCTTTCCCTGTATCCCTGCAGTTGTGAAGGAGGCATCTGGGCTGAATCTCAGGTGAGCACTGAGCAGGCTGAGCTTAAACCCCGAGGATGGCCCTGGCTGGAGGACTCGTTCCCAAGCACTGTGTTGCTGGAGTTCAATCCTTGGCTTGCTTTTGGAATAAGGAAGTACCTCATTTGAAAGCAGTTGGCTGTTAGAGGCAGATCCCCTCGGAGACACCCCTCTGGCTGCACATGGAGGTGTCTCACCCGAGCATTGACTGTGCCTGGAATAATTGAGTTCAGTTGCACTTCCTCTGTTTCCCAGGCTGCAGCCACCCTTCCCAAAAGGAGAAGGAGGAGAATTTCTCCCGGAGAAAAGAAAAACCCACCCCTGAAAGGGCGAATGAAGGGAAAAAAGCCCTCAGCCATTTGAGCGCTTTGTGGGGTTTAGCACAAGCAGCTGGGAGTTCGTCTTCTGGAAAATGGGATGGGAATGAGAATGAGGGCTCGTGTCCATCTGTCTGTCTGGGAGCTGGGGTGGTGAGGGGAAGGAAGGCGCTCGCTGCCTCTTTGGCAGTGACAGGCGCCGAGCTCGCAGAGAGACACTCGTTCCCTGTGGCTGTTGTCACACACAGACATTGGAAGCCTTTTCGGGCTGGAAGGAGAAGGAGTGAAGGGAGTGAGGAGCTGCCTGACCTCCAGTGGGACACAGGGTGGCCGGGACGGGGGAGTTGGTGTGTTGTGGCCGGGCAGAGCTGTCCTGGGGAGCAGCAAGTGGAGCCTGACCCTTGTGCTGGAGGGGAGAG